GCTCTCACGGTCCCTGGAGCCCGTGGGCAGCTGTGGGCCCACCTGCCTGCGTGGAGCCTGTGCCCCCAGCCCCGGCTTCCGCAGAACCTATTCACTGCGTCCCTCAAGGTCTCTGCCACCCCTGCCTTCCTGCCCGCACAAAGCCACTCATTCTTCCCAGGACTTAGGAGGCCATTGAGATTTTAAACACTGGCTTCTCTTCTCTCCAGGGCCTGGAGAGACAGCCCAGACTGAACGCCGCTTTATCTGTGCTTGGTGTGGAGCCCGAAGCTGGGCAGGGCCTAGCAGACCAGGCCAGGCTCCTGCAGGGTCAGGGCAGGTGCATTCGTCCTGGCTTGAGAGAGGTCCGCCTGGCCTGGGAGCAGTACCCTGGGACTCAGCTCAGAGGTCGACAAGACTCCCAGCGCAAGAGGGCTCGGTTCTAATTGGACCCTTTGGGTCCTGATAGTTGAACCCAGTGATCTCTCTCACTCCCTGTGTGCTCAGCCCCTCACCTCCAGCATGAGTTTTGTGATCCTGAGGTCTCTGGGGTGCAGGCATCAGCACTGTTGGGGAAAGCCTTTTGTTTGGTTTGTAGTAGGAAATGAACACGCTGAGCTACGTCCCTGGTTCTTTTGAAATATTTTATTTTGAGACGGGGTCTGGGCTTAAACTTGGGATCCTTTTGCCTCAGTCTCCTGAATGCTGGGATTACAGGCATGCACCACCCAGCCTGGTGTCAGGAGTTCGGGACAAACCCCCGTGAAAGGAAGGAAGACAAAGTGGGACTGGACAGAGGGAAGATTTGAACAGTGACAGGAACTCAGTAAACCCAAGGACACTGAAGCAGAGCAGTCAGCCTGAGTGTCCCAATGCCAGACATGTGCAGTCCCTTAAAGGCTGCCTGGGGGAGGGCGTGGTCTCAGGTGAGGCCCCACAGGTGGCTGATGTGGACCTTGGAGGAACTGGGAGCTGGGGAGGCCTCAAGGAGTAGGGACTGAAGGAGGAAACCGGGCCTGTGGATATCTGGGAGTGTCTCACAGACACTTTGAGGGATACATGGTAGCAACTGAGGTCTTAAGTTGTCACCAGGAAACCAGGTCCTGATGCAGCCCCTCTCTTTCTTGGTCCTTGGTTCCTGTACCCTGGATAAGGACTCAGGCCATGTAGGCCGTGCGGGAGCTGAGGCAGAGCTTCCTGTGGGGTGGACACTGAGTCTGAACCTTCCAGGGAGGAGGCAGGCAGTACACGGAGGCCTCTGCCTTGGGCTCGAGTTTGCTCGGGTTTTGATGCTCACAGAAGTGACTCCTGGCTCCAGGAACTGGAGTGACCACGGTGCTGGTCGCTATTTACTCAGAGGCCACTCTGGAGTTGCAGAGTGTCTTCCCGTCCTATTTAGGTGGTCAGTGTCTCCCGAGGGGCTTCAATCGCATCAGAAACTCAGAGAAACTAAGTTCTATGAGAGCAGGCCCTGCGGAAGCAGTGAGTCTCTGGAGGGTGCCTCCTTTCCTGATGCCACTGGGCTGTGGCAGCCAGGAATTGCTGAGCCTTGCTCTGGAGCTGAGCAGCCTGTGGCCAGGTGTCAGAAGGAATGTGTGCCGTGTTTCGCGTAAGATGTCACTGTGCCCCGTGGACCACTTCGGGTCTGAGATCTTAGAAGTGATTTAAATGCATTAGACATTGATGTCTTTTTTTCTTTACATAACTGGCAATGCAGGCTATTTTGGGATGCCCCTCTTTGTCCCTCAGGCCCACTCACCTGTCTGGCAGAGTGGATGGGTGAGGACAAGACAGGTGTTCACATAGCCAGCTCCATGCCACCCAGTGAGGACCCTGGCTTTTAGTGTGGGACAGAGGGGACATCCTTAAGGGACATCCTTAGTGGACACCTGGGCAAGGACTGCTCAGGGCTTCCTCAGAAGGGAGGCAGGACCAACAGGGGCAGCCCAAATGCCTGCCTGGCCTCTGCCCCAGGGAGTTTGGCAGCATTTGTCAGGGGCTTCTGCCCCCTAGTGGCATTCAGAGGCGACCCACCCTCCTGCCAGCTGTTTTTCTTCTGCCAGGATTCTGTGGGTTCTGTGGGTTCAACCTCAACACCAGGCTATGAAAACTCTTGTCACAAATGGCAGAGGTGACAGGCAATACTCGAGAGAAAATAACTCATAAATTAGAGACAGGAAAGCAAAGGGAACATATAGTGTTGATACAGAGTCTACAGAGCTGGGCCAGGCAGGGCCCCGTGACATTTTCAACAGTGATGGTTGCCAGCATCCAGAGGTAGGGCTGAAGGACATGTCCAGGGGCTGGGAGCTGGGGAGCAGGTCCTGCTGGCGTCCCCGGAGGAGCCTGAGGAGAGCTCTGAGTCAAGGACATGATCAGTTCCTGCTAGGGAAGAAGAAATGGAGCCAGAGGCCCAACTACTGGAAAGAAAGCAGACATGATTAAGCCCTGTAGGTCAAAATGGAGCTTGAATCTAGGAATAGTAATTTTGGCATTTAAGGAGGCTGAGGCAAGAGGATCACAAGTTCAAGGCCAGCCTGGTCAACATAGCAACACACCATGTTGAATAAAATTAAAAAATGAGAACATGAAGCTGGATGTGGTGGTGCATGCCCATGATCTCAGCACTTGGGAGGCTGAGGCAGGTGCACTGCTGCAAGTTTGAGGCCAGCCTGGGCTACAAAGCTCAAGCCCAGCCTAAACTACAGAGAGACCCTGTCTCAAAACAAAACAAAACAACAAAAACCCAAAACAAAGCCCATGGAACAATGCCTGTGGATATAGCTCAATGGTAAACTATCCTTGGTTTTCATCCCCAGCACACCCCCACCAAAAAAGGCAATGCATTATGAATGCTAATTGGCTTTATTGCCTTAAGGTTAAATTCACCTCTGCCTATAATCTAAACATTCCACTTTGTGGGCCAGGGATATAGCTCAGCAGCATAGCATCTACCTGGCAAGCACAAGGTCATGAATTTGAGCCCTGGTACCAAGAAAAAAAAAAGTCCATTCTGGATATATATTCAAGATAAAGTCTTTTGGAGTCTGCCCTAAAAGCAGCTAAGAGGACGAGAACTAGACTGGACCCACTGTGACTCACATCAAGATTGCCTCACAGACTTGAGTATGGAGCATTTGATTCTCAGTACAGCAGTGTTCTCATCAAGGCATTAACTGATGAGTTCATGGAGCCAGGAATGATGGTGTACACTTGTGACCCCAGAACTCTAGTGGCAGAGCCAGAAGGGTCACAAGTTTGTACCCAACTAAAAGTCTGGGCTGTTTAGTACTGTAACTCAGTGAGAACCTGTCTCAAAATTTAAAAAGTACTGGGGATGTAGCTCAATTCCTAGTAATGGAAAAAAAGGAACTATGGCTGGGAGAGTAGATGTTTGGTAGTTTTTGTAGCTTGAACAATGCAGATGTTTTGTGTTCAACATGATTATGGAGTGGCCTAGTTTTGTCTTGCTGCTTTACAATCAGTCTGGTGTTGACATGTCTGGAAACTGTTTATGTTCAACAGGACACCAGGCCAGTTCCTTCTCTCCTTCACCTGTCAGTAAGCATGAAACATCCCAGTGTCACCTTGGGGATTTAAGTCACTTTGACATAGAAGCAGCCTTGATTTCCATTCCAGGTGCAAAGCTTCTGCTAAGAGACTTCATTTCACAATTGTGTGTTTTAATCTTATAGTTTCCATACAAACAGCACACTGTGTCCACTTTGCAGGTCAGATGTTGACCCCTGTGCACACAACTGTACTTTTTGTTGTTGTTCGTTTGTTTGAGGCAGGGTCTCACTATAGGCTCAGGATAGCCTTAAATCTCCATCCTCTTCTGCCTCCCACTGCTGGGATTACAGGCCTGGGACACCACACTCGGCAGCTGTGCTTCCTTTTGAGCCTTTATAAAAACATTCCTTCATTTCAACTTTACCCCCCTACTCTTCCTTCAGACACAACCCCAGGCTCCACTGGGTGTTACGTCCTTCATCGAAATGAATCAACAAATCGACTTTGGTGGAATTATAGATTAGTATCTCGTGACCCGAGACTAACTGGAACAAAACTACGTTATGAGAAAAATAAAAGCAAAGAAAATGTAGTGTTGAGAAAGGAATAGCTATGAGTGGTGGTGCTACACCTGTAATCCCAGCACTAAGGAGCCTTAGACAGGAGGATCGCTGAAAGTTTGAGCCTAGTCTGGGCTATAATGAGCTCAAGGACAATGTGGATTACATAGCTAGACCCTGTCTCAAAAAAAAAAAAAAAAAAAAAAAAGAAAAAAAAAAAAAAAAAAGGAAGTTTGAGGTTTAAATAAGGTGCTCCGGGAAACTCAGGTTAATGACATCTGGACAAAGACCTAAAGAAACTGAGAATTGCTAACTGGTTGACTACCTGGTAAAAAAAAATCATTTTAAGAAGAGGCTTTTAGAGGCTTGTCCTAACATTTCTGTAGTTCTGTAACCTATCCGCTACTCCCATCGTTACTCCCTTCTGCTTTTGCTTTTCTCCATTGACCTTTTCTTTCTTCTTCTTCTTCTTTTTTTTTTTTTTTTTGTCCTTTTTTGAGACGGGGTCTCGCTATGCAGTTCAGGATGGCCTTGAGCTCACTTTGTAGCCCAGGCTGGTCTCAAACTCGCAAGGATCCTCCCACCTCAGCCTCCCAAGTGCTGGGATTACAGGCGTGAGCCACCAAGCCCGGCTTCCATTGATCTTCTCAACATACAATGCCGTGTTCAGTTTGTATCATATTCATTTTTGCTTTTTGTGAGGGTGAGCACAGCCCAAGTTTCTGACACTGGGGCACAGAGCAGGCACTCGACAACAGCACGTGGAATGAGGCCAAGAGCAGGAAAAGATTCTACCAAGTGAGCCATCACACGACCACCAGGGGACACCCGTGATCAGGCTCACCACCGATCCTCGTCCCTAAGGCGCTCTGAGGCACATTCCTGCGCGTGCGCCGTAACACCCGCCCGATTGGTTGTGGCCGTAGGTCCCCAGTGGTGGTGCGCATGCGCACTGCATGGCGCGAAGCTAACAGAGGGTGACGCTGTTTACCCTGCGTTGGCCACGCAGCAGCTCACCTTTTCCACCGTGCTAACTTTCTCGGAGTTCGTTATGTTCCCAGAACTCAATCATCTTCTCAACACCACTCCTGACAAAGCAGAGCAGGTAAAGTGTCGCGCGACCTGGAAGGGGGCGGGTCCCAGGAGCGTGGCGAAAAACACATCCGGGGAGTAACGCGCATGGGCTGGCGGGAGAGTACGGTGGCCGCGAGCCCCGAGTGCCGGGTAGAGGTGGTCACTTATTTTTTTTTTAACCAGGCATAATGCTGACCCAATGGTCACTTTTTTTTAAGACCTAGTTTCACAACGTAGTTCAGACTGGCCTTGAACTTGACTGTATAGCTCACGCCGGCCTCGAATTCATGGCAGTTTTCTTGCTTCAGCCTCTCTAGTGCTAGGATTATAGGCGTGTGCCACCATGCCTGGCTGGTCACATTTTAAGTCATGCACAAGTTACCTCTTCCAGGAACATCAGTGGCTTGCTCCTCCACCTTTGTAATGAGAAACTGGACTCCTTCAAGCACTGTAAACTGCCTTTCCTAGTGCCACGCAAATTGTAGTTTGAGTATTCTAATTGAGGAGTTCTTGTGTATTCAAGCCTTCAGATGATCGTGGTTACCTGATTACCTTGGCAGTTACTGAGACCAGAGGGAATGGAGGACTGGAGTGGGTAAAAGAGAATGACAGCGTTGGTGTACAGCAGCAGGCTCAAAGTATGCCAGTGTGAGCCAATCTTTTATTTTTGGTACTGCAGATTGAACTTACAGCCTTTACACAGAGCTATGTCCCTACCCCTTGTTACATTTTTTGAGTGAGAGACTTGTCAAGTCAATAAATTGCCCAGACCAACCTGGAACTTGTGATCCTTCAGCCTCAGCCTCCCAGGGTGCACTACCTTGTCCAGCTTTATCTTTCCTACTTTACCAGTGAGAAAAGAGAAACAACAGAAGCTCAGAGAAGTTGGGCACTTGCTTAAGGTCACACAGCATGGAAGTGGTGTGTGTGATAAACAGTCATTGGGAGAGGTGTGTTATCAGAGATGTCTGTTACAACTTCTTCCAGAGCCCTGAGACCCACCCACCAGGATATAGGACAAAACTGGCATGAGAATCAGAAAGTGAGGTTAGAAAATCCCTTCCTGAAAGTCCCTTGCAATCCTGGCAGTCTGTGATTTTCACTGGAGCTAGATGGTAAAAGCATTTTTGCTTCAGAATCTCATTCTCCCAGGGACTGGCTCCTGAGTTAGTAAGGTGACAAGGGGAAAGAGAAGCAGCTTTATTCTGTTTTGCCTTGAGAAAGTGTAGGCTGTGATAAGCTTGTACATCATGAGCTACAACACAGGTAACTTTGATCTTAGTTTCTTAGACGTTTTCTTCATTTTTGGGTAAGTTTAGAATATACAGCATTAACAAGTACACCCTAGGTGTAGAAATTTAGCAGTGGACACAGTTTACCAGAGTTTTACACTAGATTGATCTCCTTTTTGGAAGTCAAATTCACCTTTGTGTTTTTCTTAACTTTTAGGGGAAACTGACTCTCCTCTGTGATGCCAAGACAGATGGCAGTTTCCTTGTGCACCACTTTCTCTCTTTCTACCTCAAAGGTAATGTAACTCACTGATGGTGCAGAAAAAGAAACCCAATGCAAAAAAAGGAAAAATAGCACAGCCTGCTTCAGGCAGCAGTGGGATGACTTTTACTAAGTGGAGTTGGGATTTAAGTAACCAAGAGCTGTTTTACTAGGTAACAGAACACTGGCTGCATTTTGTTCTCTCCCAACCCTGCAGGGTGGCATGTACTCACTGCGCCCACTTCCCGCCTTCCCCCTCTGTCTCTGATGTCCAGGTGCTAATTACCTCTCAGAGGTCCTCATGTGGTCCTTGTTTCATGGCTCCTTAGTCCTTGCGTATCTTGAAGTTTCTGGACGCTTAACTCTTTGACACTTTGCCCGGCTAGTGGATGCTTCCTAAAGAGTATGGCCCCTGCAATTTCCATCTGGAAAGAGGCTAGGAAAAGAGTCAAAAGCAAAAGAGACTTGACCTGGCATGGTGGTGCATGCTTGTAATCCCAGCACTCAGGAGGCTGAAGCAGGAGGATCGTTGCAAGTTTGAGACCAGCCGGGGTTACAAAATGAGCTCCAGGCCATCCTGAACTGCATAGCGAGACTCTGTCTCAGGAAGATTTTTTTAAAAAAGCAAAAGACACTAACTTACCAGTGGGTTCTCCTGGAGTATGTCCTGTGCCAAACCAGGGTATAAGGCAGAGCCATAGTGCTCATGGTTGCAATAACTTAAAGCTTTTATTTATTTATTTGTTTAGTTTTGTTTTTACTTAAAAAAGTTTATTTAACAAAAAACAGTACAAAAATGTGTATGACTCAGTTTTGAGTCACTGAAACTAGCGCTTTGAAGAGGACCATGGATTTCTCTGCTGAACAGTCAATCATTGTTTAAACTCGTTCTAAGGCTTCCCACATAATGATACTATTTCCTCGTATTACCACCATTCCAATATTGTTCTGTTGCCCATTAGTTACCATCTTCACACATTCATCTATCACAAGATTCATAAAGGGATCAAATCCTCACAATATTCCTTGGACATGCCCACCACCATTTAATTTCAATGATAACTTCTTGTCCATAAATTTTTTCAGCTCAGGAGGGAGGGTGAGCTTTGCTCATCTTGTCTAGTTCACAGGCTCAGAGAGTCTTCAAAGGGAATTTGCGGCCACCTTTACTTGTTTTTTAGTTTAGAGACAGAGTCTTGCTAGGGCAAGAAGGAATGGATAGTTGAAGTGAGTACCAGGAAATGACAGCAGTGGGGCACAGGACCCTTAAAAGTGTGGCATTACATTTTTTTTTTTTTTTTTGTCTTTTTCCTTTTTATTGGTACCGGGGATCGAACTCACAACTGCCTGCTTGCAAGGCAGGTGCTTATGCCACTGAGCTAAATTCCCAGCCCCCTGGCATTACATATTTCATAAGTGATAAAACAAAACTGAAGCCCAGGGAAATTAGGCACTTGGTTAAGGTCACATAGCATGAAAGTGGTAATGGTGGGGCTGGGGATTTAGCTCAGTGGCATAAGCACCTGCCTTGCAAGCAGGCAGTCGTGAGTTCGATCCCTGGTACCGATAAAAACGAAGAAGACAAAAAAAAAAAATAAAAAATAAAAAAAAAAGAAAGTGGTAATGGCATAGAACTTGTGATACTCCTCCCTCAGCCTCCTGAGTGCTAGGATTACAGGCCTAAACCACCCCATCCAGTTTAATCTTACAACTTTGAAAGTAAAGTTCATGTAATGTTGTCATCAGCATAGAAAAAGCAATTTATCTACAGATAAATTGTTAGAACTAGTAAGAGTTGGTTGAGTAACTGGAGTTTCTTTGTGCTTTCTTTGTTTTCTGTGGGATATAAAAATTTTTTTTTGAGACAGCATCTTGCTGTGTAGTTCAGGGTGGTCTTAAACTCACTATGTAGTCCAGGCTGGCGTCAAACTTGTGGCAATCCTCCAGCCTTAGTTTCCAGCGTGCTGAGATTACAGGTGTGCATCACCATGCTGGAGCCCTATAAAACTGTTTAAAAGGTGAATAGTATTCTTGTATACCAGCAGTAAACGGGAACACTAATTTAAAAAAAAAAAAGACACACTTCACAATAGAACAGAAGTAAGTATCTAATAATCCATCCATCAGAAGTACATCTCAGAATCAACACTGTAAGGCAAAAGTTTCGGTTGTTTTGTTTTGGTAGTAGGACTTGAGCCCAGGGCCTTTGCACTGAGCAAACCCTCAGCCCCTCCTCGCTTTTTAAAAATCTGTTTTATTTCAAAGAGAATGAAAAAGAAAAACATAAAATTTCAAAACATGTCAATCAAGGGGCAACAATGGTACATACATTGTACATCGTCATCCCCAATTCACCCAGAGGACAGGACATCTGCGTTCAATCCAAATAATACCAGCACAAATTTTTCTCTTCAGTGAACTCAGAGAAATCACACATATATACATACATTGTTTCTTTTAGCTTCTCACACTAGTGAGACAATATGATGTTTACACATGGATGTCTAATTTATTTCACTTATGAATATGGTCTCGAGTTGCATCCATTAGAGTCTCCAGTTTATCCTTTATTATGACTGAGTAGGACTCCATTGTATAAAAATACCACATTTTTTTTATCCATTCCTAGTTGTGGATATTTCGATTGTTTCAAAGATCTACCTGTTACAGATTGTGTTGCTGTAAACATGCGTGCACATATAGCACTGTGGTGTGATTTTTTTAATTCTTTGGGGAAGATACCCAGAAGGGGAATAGCTGGATGGATTAGTAGCTCTAGCCCTAGGTGTTTTTTTTTTTTTTTTTATCGGTACCGGGGATCGAACTCACGACTTCCTGCTTACAAGGCAGGCGTTTATGCTGCTGAACTAAATCTCCAGCTCCCTAGTCCTAGGTTTTTGAGAAATCTCCACACTGCTCTCCACAAGGGTTACACCAGGCTACACTCCCACCACCAGTGGAGAAGGGTCCCTTTTTCCCCACAGCCCCTCCAGCATTTGTTATTGGTTGATTTCTTCATAACAGCCATTCTTTCTGGGGTGAGCCTTTTCTGTTTTTTATTTTAAGATAGGGTCTAAGTTGCCTAGGCTGGGTTTGAACTTGCGCTCTTCTTTCCTCAGCCTGAAAAAGTGTGTCTCGGAACCAAATTTGTCGGGTGCCTTAGTGCCTTTGTTCCTAGAGTGGCTAAGGTTCCCGCAGGCTGACCGTAAACAGGGGCTGTGTTCACCAGCAGCTTACTTTGCTTCCTAGCTAACTGCAAAGTCTGCTTTGTGGCACTTGTCCAGTCCTTCAGTCACTACGGCATCGTGGGACAGAAGCTGGTAAGTACTTCAGACCTCTGCACTGGGGCCCCCGCGTGAGAGCATGTGCTGTGCCCTTGTGGGCGGCCTTTTCTATCTCGGCTGTAGAGGACTTGGTGAAGGAAACGCTAAGAAAGTCTTGGGACCCCACTGTCAGCTGCAGGGTGAAGATGGCATCTCAGCATGATTTATTGACTGAGCTGTTAGTGCACATCAGTGACTCAAACCCCTCTCTACTGATTCTGGGCCACTTAAGGCCGCCTCCTTGTCAGTGTGGGCTTTTGCAGTGGTCTGCTGGGGTGCAAGTCACAGCTTAGTCTCTTGCTAGGCTGGGGGTCTAGGCAGAGCTGTGAACCTGTGGTTTTTTCCTAAGACAAAAGGTGTTCATGTATAAGTTGTGTTTTCTAAACTAAGGCCTCATATCAGGGTTAGTTGCAGTGTTAGCATTTTGTGATGAATAAGTGGGTTGCATCTTAGGCACCTGGGCTCTCGAAGGTTCCCCATCACTGCTCTAGGGCTTGGAGTTCCACTGTGGGCAGAGGCAGTGGTACTTGACTCACCTTGCTCGTCGTTAACTTTTCTCATTGCTGAGACAAAATATGCAACACCCAAAGTTAAGGAAGGAAAGGTTTATTTAGCCCACAGTTTGTAGAGGTTTCAGTCCACTATTGCCCCTGGCTCCAAGGAGGGGGCAAACAGTGCACGGGGTGGAAGATAGCAAAAGCAAAGGGGCACAAACCTCTTTCTGTCCCTTATATTCTGTGCAGGCTACCTAGTCCTAGTCTGGGTGTAGCACTCACACCCTTAATCCCAGTATTGGACCATGAATCAGTCACAAACTAGATTCAGCCACCCCCGAAAACCTGCCCCCCTATAATTGTATGAGGCTCTGGGCCAACATCTAGACCCAAACCATAACCCCTCTGATCTCATCAGATAGGGGCAAATTTTTTTTTATTTTTTATTTTTTGTATTTTTACCGGTACCAGGGATTGAACTGATGACTACACACTTGCAAGGCAGGCGTTTATGCCGCTGAGCTAAATCCCCAGTCTCAAATTTTTTTTTGTCTTTTTGAGACAGGGTTTTGCTATGCAGTTCAGGCTGTCCTTGAGCTCACTTTGTAGTCCAGGCTGGTTTCGAACTCCCACCAATCCTTCTGCCTCAGCCTCCCGAGTGCTGGGATTACAGGCATGAGCCATCACAGTCGGCTCTGAGCAGACAAATTTAAAATAGCAGATTGGGCGTGGTGGTACACACCTGTAATCCCAGCACTTGAGAGGCTGAGGCAGGAGGATTGCTGAGAGTTCGAGGCCAGCCTGAACTGCGTGTGAGACCCTGATTAAAAAAAAAAAAAAAAAAAAAAGAGAGAGAGACTGGGCCAGATATTTAGCTCAGTGGTGCAGCGCCTGCTTGGCAAATGTGAAATCCTGAGTTTGATTCCTCCCTTGCTAAATAAGATAGCAGAGACCAGTGAACCTGCTTACCTGTCCAGGGACATGGCCCATGACCAGTGACCTGTACTTAACTGCCCGGGAATGGGAGCTCAAGGGACACAGACTTTTGGGGGTTTGGGGAGTGGATGTGCCAGGCTTAGCAAGAGAACCAGGGCACCCGTCAGGAGTGATTTTGTCCCCGGAGCTGTGGATCCAACACAGGACTTGGTGTGTGCTCAGCGAGTGTTTACCACTGAACTCCACTCCCAGGCCCAGCAGTGATCTTTAAATGCCACTTGGACTGTTATTGGCCAGCGGGGAGAGAAGGGTACATTCCTTGCTGCCTTTTACAGAGAAGGAAGACCTCCCTGTGGAGCCCGGGAACATGAGTTGCATGCCAGGTCTCTGATGCATATGCACTGCATAAGCCTGTGTGTTTCTCATGACAAAGCTCTGTGCACTCACCTGCAGATTGGGCGCTTTTTCTTTCACCTTCGGCTCATCTGCACACCAGACAGCACACACTGAGGTGGCCTGTGAAGCATACGCGTGGGGCCCTGCTTGTGGTGCCATACTGCACTTCCCCGCATATGCGGGGCTGCGCGGGAGCAGAGAGGCCAGTGGGAAACACATAGCGAGACCCTGTTTCAAAGGAAAAAGAAAAACAAAGAATCAGTAATGCAGCAGTGGGTCAGAGTCTGGGAGATGCCAGGACAGCAGACTCGCAGCTTCCTCCTGATTCATAGTGCGTGCCTTCAGTGTGGTTCTGAGGCTTTAGGAAGGCAGAGATCATGGGCCGCAGCTTTCAGGCTATCAGAACTATAGCTGAGTCATGCAGGTAAGTTCTCCAGTGCTGCCAAAATGATTCCCATTGATACCTAACACACTGGATAGTTACCTACCCAGTCATACCCAGCACTGGATACTCAAGGAAGCACATACATAAACAAAAGAAAATGCTATTTTTAAAATATGACGAGGAAACGGAATGGGGCTTGTGGGTGGGGCAGGGCACCCTTGGGTACATGGGGGGTGGAGGGTCTCTTTCCATTGAGTGTGTGGCTCGTATCTCTTGGGAGCTGCCATCCTGTCCCTCTGGCAGGTCCCTCATGAGTTGTAGCAACTTCCTCTCTTCTGTCACGTTCAGGGAGTCAGCCTGACTGCGGCTCGGGAGCGCGGGCAGCTCGTGTTCCTCGAGGCTCTCAAGACCTCTGTGGACATCTTCTTCCAGCCCCCAGTGGAGCCTCACCCCCTGCAGTTTCTCAGGTCAGACTTGTGCACCTGGTGGGCAGGCGCGTGTGCTGTGCAACCCCTGTTTGTGGTATGGGAAAGTAGAACTGGCTTCAGGGCTCCCCATCGTGGGGCAGGGTGTACAGTGGTCTCCAAAGCTGTAGGAAGCTTGTGCTGGCACTGCTGCTCAAGCCCTAGCACACCCTTCTAAGCCATGGGCCCCGAGCTAGAGCACCCCTCTGCGTGGCTGAGCCGTGGGCTCGACCTGTTTTGTAAATGACTTGGGTAAGGGCACAGCCACCCTCCCTGTTTGCCTGTGTCCCTGCTGTTTTGTTTTTCAGCAACAGACTGAGTAATGGAGACAGCTAAAGACTATGACCCTAGCCTGGGGTGTTCACTCTCGTGGGTGTTTCCCTAGAGGGCTGAGATTGGCCCCCTGGCCTGCATTCCATTCTGAGCATCAGCCCCAAACTGGGCCACTGCTCTTCCAGCCCTGTGTGTGACTCCTCTGACACACGCCCCTTTTTCCTCCAAGTGCAGGGCTCATTACCTCTGATGCCGAGGTGTGGGGAGTCGTCCTCCTTGGTGAGGGGGATCTGGGGCTGGGGGATGTTCGCTGGCACTCAGGGCAGTGGGGTGGTTGGCGTGGGTCCTATGCTCTGCTCCTCCTCCTCCAGCTGGGAAATGAGTGTTGGGGTGTTCATTAGGGAAGACAGGTGGGGTGGCCAGCACGTGACCGCAGGCCCATCCACGCAGCCCTGAGACCACTGCCCCTCACCGCCACCTAGGCTGCCACTTAACTCTCTTCAGTGGCACATGGCTTCCGAGGAGGCTTTCTTGTTTAATCCGCCAGGTGCCATAGCTCTTAGATTGAGAGGCCACCATCTGGAGTCTTTTTCCTTTTTTTTTAAGATAGGGTCTTGCATTGTAGCCCAGGCTGGCCTTGAACTTGCCAGCCTCCTGCCTCAGCCTTCCAAGTCCTAGGATCACAGGAGTGCACTTGGATGGTGTCTTTTTTTTTTTTCTGGAGATAGGGTCTCCCTATGCAGCTCACACTGGCCTTGAACTCATTATACAGCCCAGGTTGGGCCCAAACTCACAGTGCTCCTCCTGCCTCAGCCACCTGAGCTCTGGGATTATAAGTGTGTGCCACCACACCCAGCTGTATGATTTCTCAGCTATACAGGCCCCAGGACTGTTCCTTTCTGTGTCCTCCAGTTTCTCGCACAGTGTTTTTGTACCTTGTGGTCCTCAGGGAGCACTCAGTGTAGAGGAAGCCTATTCTTGTGTGTCTGTGTGTGTATGTGTCCCACATTGCTGAGGGCTGTCGTATTGTTCTTTGGTGCAGCTTGGTTACAGGTAGAGAGTGAGCTCTAGTGACTTTTGTGCTGTGTCCCCAGGGAAGCCAGTGCAGGGAACCTGCAGCCGCTTTTTGAGTTCGTGCGGGAGGCTCTGAAGCCTGAGGACGGCGGGGAGGCGAAGTGGAGGCACCCGGTGCTGCTGGTAGACGACCTCAGCGTGCTGCTGAGCCTGGGCGTGGGGGCTGTGGCTGTGCTGGATTTCATCCACTACTGCAGGGCCACTGTGTGCACAGAGCTGAAGGTACCACGGGGACCTATGACCTCTGAGAGCCCCAGCAGGTCCAGGCTGGCCACCTCGCCCACAGTGGTCTCTTGTTATTTACCTGGGCTTTAGCCTTCCTCTGGGTGGCACAGAAATCATCTGGCCTGTCCACTCTGCACTCCCCTACTCCTGTTGCTAAAAGTAAAGCTCTCCAGCACTTGGAAGGCTGAGGAAGGAGGAGTGTTGCAAGTTTGAGACCAGCCTGAGCTACAAAGTGAGCTCAAGGCCAGCCTGAACTGCATAGCGAGACCCTGTCTCAAAAAAAATACAGTTAAGCCCTCAAAGCTAAAGGAGCAACTGGCCCTGTGTTCAGCAAGGCCAGTCAGGTGACCCTGCATATCTTGGAGCACATTATCATCCTTGGGTTCTTTTATTTTTTATTTATTTATTTTTGTGTGAGTGTGTGGTACTGGGGATTGAACCTGAGCCCTCTCGCTGCCAGGTTGCTTGAGTTTGCTTTGGAATCATCTGATGTCTCTTTTTTGTGGGGATGGAGGGTGCTATTGGGGAACAAGCCTAGGGCAAACATGGTTTTACATGAATTGAGCTAGGAGTACAGGTTGGGAGTACATGGCCCAGTGGGTTTTTTGTTTTCCTTGGGTACTGGAACTCAAACTCAGGACCTTGTGCTCGCCAGGCAGGCATGGTGCCCCTGAGCTGTGTCCCTAGCCCCCAGGAATGCAGGTTGGACTTGCTGGTGCCAGTCGCCTGTGGATAACTGGATCATGGTCCTGGTGGAGAGGGTGACCTAAGAGGGTGTGCAGGGTGGGGGTGGCAACAGCACTGAGAGCCTGGGGGCTCCTGCTCCCGCTCCTGTGTGGCTGCAGGGAAACGTGGTGGCCCTTGTGCACGACAGTGGAGACAGTGAGGATGAGGAAAACGACCTCCTGCTGAGTGGCCTCAGCCATCAGAGCCACCTGATCCTGCGGGCGGAGGGCCTGGCCACCGGCTTCTGCAGGGATGTGCATGGGCAGGTACGTGGGGGCGGCTGCTCCCTCAGGTGGCAGGGCTCGGGCATGCAAGCACCAGTCAAGACCTGGCGCATCCCCTTGGCACCACTGTGACCGAGGTGGAGAGCCCCTCTGGGGAAGGAGTCTCTGCAGCACAGCACAGACTCAGCGCATTCTGGTCACTACTGTTTCTTGGAAAGAAGGGACTTGGGGAGGCTGTGCCCCACCCCCAGGCTCCTGTGGTACTGGGGATTGAACCTGAGGCCTCTCGCTGCCAGGGGGCGAGGCGCTAACCCCATGCTAACCTCTCTTGAGCCAATGGTTGGAGCCATGGCCCAGTTGCTGGAAGACAAATCCAGCAGAGAAAGCGAAGGAGCAAGTTAAAAAAAAAGAAAAAAAAAATTTGAAGACTTGGTGGAAGTAAAAATAAAAAAGAAAGCGAAGGAGCAGGCCTGGAAACCAGTGTAGGTGCCTGTGGCCCTGGGCAGGGTGAAGGTCCTGCAGGCCAGTCAAAGGCTCTATTGTCCCTATGACAGGCCTTCCCTCCGCAGAATCATCCATGTCTGGCCCGTGAGCCTCCGTGCTATCTGTGTGAAGTGCGATGTGTTGGTCTAGCTAACAAGTCTAAAGCTGCATAGAAAAGAGACAAAAGGAAATACATAGAAATACTGTCACAGTTTTTCTCTGGGGGACAGTTTTCCTCTGTGGTCAGCTCTGCCCTGCTTGCTTCCCCTGAGCACATGCCACCGCACAAATGCTTACTGTTTTTTTTTTTTTTTAATATCAGCTTTGCATTATATAATAACATTATTCGTGTTCCTTCTAGAAGGTTGCAGCGTGGAGTTGTAAGCTGGCCAGACCTGGATTCCAATTGCAGTTTGCACTTGATAAAGTCATTTAACCACTCTCCAAAACAAGCCACTTCTTGGTCTTCAAACATTTCTTTTTTTTTATGTTTTGGTATTGGTGATCAATGCACTTGACAGGCAGGAGCTGTGCCACTAAGCTGTGTCCTCGGCCCTCTAAGGGACTTTTGATTTCATTTTTTTCTCTCATGTTTTCTGTAACAAGGAAAGATGGCTCTGCCATGGAAGGGAGGGCCTTTATTTTTACTTCACTGTTTATTGTACAAGTTGGCCCCACTAGCAGCCTCAGTTGAAGGCTGCAGCGAGGCATGGTGGGGTTCACTGTGGGCCGTCCAAGTGCTGCCCCCCTTTCATTTTGTCTGTCTCTGCAGCTCAGGGTCCTCTGGAGGAGGCCGTCTTGGCCTGCAGCCCAACGGGATCGAAGCCTCACCTACCAGTACAAGATACAGGACAAGACCGTGTCCTTCTTTGCCAAAGGCTTGTCCCCTGCTGTTCTGTGATCAGATTTGGGGGCTACTGAGGCTGCGTTGGACTCTTAGTGGATGTGGACAATACAGGGCCAAGCAGGAATGGGCCTGTGCCTGGGCAGTAGCACTGCAGACTGGCCTGCGGCTCCATGGTGACCGGCGAATGGTAACACGGCGGTTTGCATGCTTTGTGCCCTGGCCTGTGCCCTGTGCCCAGGAATTGGGGGAGTCTGGCCCCTGCCCCTGCTGAGAGGGCCCGGCTGGCACGGCCTCCTTATGCTTGAGCCCCTGCCTCCAGGAACCAGAGCAGGAGTGCGTGCCAGGCAGGAGGTTGCCTGCTTCAGGGCCCCAGGGCGGCCTCTCAGGTGCCTGAGGCTGGAATAAAGTGAGTGCCTGCCGGGGTCGTCTTGCTTCTTCTTCCTCTCCTTCCTCAGGTGCAGTGAGAAAGCAGGCCTGGGGGGCGGGGTGGAGGCCCCTTGGGGGTGAACCACACTTCCGGTTCTGTGGTGCGCAGCCCTGGCTGTCCAGGGCTTGGTGTGGGTCAGGTCAGCCTGTGTGGGATACAGCCGTGTGGCCTTGGGGATAGGCAGGGAGGCTTGTGCTGCCAGCCAGGGTGCGGCCTCAGTGACTGCAGGGGCTGAGCCCTGGTCCCGGCACCTGGAGTGGACCTCTGGTTCCTCTGTGAACCTCAGTCACCACCACTGTGGGTGATTTAAAACAGGTGCTTTGTTTCTGTGTGTAATTATGTCACAATGAGGTATATCTTAAAAATAAATACAGTGAAAGGATAGCATTACTTTGTGGTGTACTAAGGAACTTTTATATCTGTTGATTTTAGATTTTTTTTTGTTTTTTTTTTTTTTTTTGAGACAGAGTTTCACTGTGTGATTCAGGCTGCCCTTGAACTCACTAGGTAGTCCGGCCTGGTCTCGTACTTACAGTGATCCTCCTGTGTGCTGGGTTCTGGCTTGGGAGTGGTTTTTCTTTGATTTTAAGATAGGATCTCACTATATGTCTGGCGCTGAACTCCTGGGTTCACATAACCCTCCTTCCTCAGTGGCTGGGACTACAGAAATGAGAAAAGTACCCCAGTGCTAGCTTCACTTCAAGATCCTGTTTTTTTGGTTTTTTTTGTACTGGAGGTTGAGCCCTGTGTCTTTGCAGTGAGATACACTTCCAGCCTTTTTATTTATTTTGAAACATGGTCTTGCCTAGTTGCTGTGTTGTCCAGGATGGGCTTGAATTTGGGATTCTCCTATCTCAGCCTCCAGAGTGCTAAGATTACATGTGGGCACTACCATGCCCAGCTTTTTTTTTTTTCCCCAGCCTTTACTGTGAAATCCTTAATCCTTTTTTTCTTTGTTAGGGTAGTCAAGGTCAAGTGAAACTTTGAGGATAATTAAATTGTTATTGGCCTTTATGATTAATTTTTTATTGTATCAATTATCTTTTTCTGAAATATTTTCTTTTACTGAAAAAACATTTCTAATCATATATACAATAAAAGGCTTATTTTCAGAGTGTGGTGTGAATTCTTACAACTTAATAAGACATAGAACTCATTTTTTAAAAAGGTCAAAAGATTTGAATAGCTGTCCCACCAAAGCAGACACCTACACTGCCGTGTGCCTGTAAAGTTGCCAGACATTGTTAGCCATTAGCACCAGTGAAACCCACAATGATATCCCATCACAGGCCGAGGAGAGGGCTGTGGCGGACCAAGTGTCTGTGGGGTGTTGCGAGGCGGTAGAGAAGCCAGATCCTGGGTACCTTACATTGCTGATGGGAATGGGAAATGGCTGCTGCTTCAGTTTGTTTTGTCTTGTTTTTTTGAGACAGGGTCTTGCTATGTAAGTCAGGCTGGCCTGGAATTCGCCAGGATCTCCTGCCTCAGCCTCCTAAGTGCTGGGACACAGACGTGTTCTAGCCCACCCAGCTATGGTACAGTCTTTTGGAAAACAGTTTGATAGTTCTTAAATGCTGTATGTTAGACACAGATTTATTATGCAACTCAGCTAATCTGTTCATAGGTATGCAGCCAAGAGGAAAGAAGACATCTAAGCTGGGTGTGGTGGCACACACCTGTATTCCCACACTCTAGGAGGCTGAGGCAGGAGGATAGATGATTTAATGATATAGTGAGACCCTGTCTCAAAAAAATAAAAAAGGCTGGGGATACAGCTCAATGTGAAGGCTCTGTTTCTATCCCTAGTATGACCAAAAAAAAAAAAAAAAAAAAACGTCAGGCAGTGTTCATTTATAAACACTTGTATATGAATGTCCATAGCAATGTTTCTCATAGTAGTCAAAAATAGAGGAGCTGGGATGTAGCTCAGCTGCGTAAGCGCCTGCCTGGCAAGTGCGAGGTCGTGAGTTCGATTCCTGATACCAAAAAAAAAAAAAAAAAGAAAAACTGGATGACTTCAGTGATGATAAAAATGCATATTTCTACATGAAATATTAGTAAAAGCAAGAGAAGACTGCACATTCCCCAACAGGGTGGACTCGGACACACCAGCCACAAAACCCTATGTCCCATGGTTCCACCTATAGGAAACATCCCCCAACGGTGAATTTGTGGGGACACAGTGTAGTGTGGTTGTGGGCCTGGGAGTGTGAATGGGAAATGGCTCCATGAGCTTCCCTGGCATGATGGCAGTGTACTAAATCCACTGGTGATGTGCTCTGAGCTAGCTCACTGGCTCGTGCGTGTAGCCTATCCTGTGGTGGGGTGTGCCTCTTTTCCTGCTTTTACTTAGCTGGAACTTTCTCTGTAGAACCTGTTTCTCTTCCTTCCTTGAATAAAACTTTTCTGTTTAAAACACATTACATTGTAATGGTTGCATAGTATATTTACTAAAAGTCATTTAATTATGTTGATACATTGTGTCAACTTGAGTTTAGAAGTTTAAGACTCAGCAGAGGCTGTTACTTTGTAAATGTCCTGTGCAAAAGGAGGGCATAGAGATTTTGTGAGTGTTACACTGCCCTGGGTGGGGGTTACACTGCCTGTGTACAATATAAGGGCTCTGGCTGCTGCCATGAAGTGTTGCTCCGGTGCCATGTGCCACTCTGCCTTGAAGTCAGCTGATTAAATGGGCTGAAACCTCCACAAAGTGTGAGCTAAATAAACCTTTCCTTCCTTCATTTTGGGTGTTGGGTCTTTGGTCCTAGTAACCAGAGAAAAGTAACCCAGACAATACTTAACTGTTATAGCATTTATGTGATGCTTGTGAAGTTTCCAGCTGATTGTGTGACGATCTACTGTCACAGCAGTGCCCTCCCAACCCTAGAGCTTGAAACAAACATGTTTACGCACATCACATCTGAGGGTTACAGGGACCAGAGGTCAGGGAGTAAGTAATGTGTCTGTGGCTTATGCAGGCTTATGCATCAACCCTGCTGCTACTAGCTTCCTGTGGAAGGCCACATTGAGTCTGTCCTCCCGATTCCTGCTCTGGCTTCCCCCACCGCTTCCCTTCAGGCCATATGGAAAAGGCCATACAGCAAAAGGTCAAGGGTCCTGAGTGGGTCAGCATTGGATGCTGGCCCTGTCCAGAGATCTGCTGATGTCCTAACGGCAGCTGCCGTAGAAGCTGGGAATGCTCCATTCTTAAATACTTACAACAGGCTTTATCTCACTTACCTTTAAGGGTCATTGCAGGGTCCTATTAGCTAATGTAGCTAATGTCTGCCATGGGCAGAAGCCAACCACAACTGGTCACTGAGCCATGTCCAGTGGCTCAGATCCGTAGGCCAGGTAGGCGCTTATGCTGCTGAGCTAAATCCCTGGTTTGGGATTGAGGCATTTCGTATGTGTTCCTACTCTGATTTATTTCAGGAGCTACAGAAATTTGAGTTCTTGTTGCATCCTGCGCTTGACTTCCAAGTCAAGGTTCTCTGAGGTTAATTCTCACTGCCATGAAGCTGCTGCTTTAATCCAAATGGGAATTTGAACCCCAGAAATGTGCAAGGCTTTAATCATGTGGCCAGCTCTTATCTCCGATGCTAAATTCATAAGCAGGATGCATGGTGTGATGAAACCCCTGCGGCAACGGGGCAATAAGTTGGAACTTGGTGTTTGGGGTTCTAGACTGAGGCCATATGGTCAGTTCTCAGGGTGACCTTGAGGACGTTATCTCACTCTAGAAATTTGCTACGTTTACAAAATATTCTCAAGACTGCTCTGAAGCTAGTGTGGTGGCGCACACCTGTAATCTCGGCCCTCAGGAGGCTGAGGCAGGAAGATCACTGTGTGCAGCACAAACTCAGCCTGGATTACATAATGAGCCCACGGCCAGTCTGAGGTGCACAGAGAGACCCTGGATCAGAATCAAGAATAGGCCTAGCGTAAAAGCCCAAGACCTCAGGGGTCTTCCTCCGTCCACCCTGCAGGACACAGCCCCCCGGGGCAGCTGGGGTAAAACAGGCTAGGATTGCAGAAACTGAAGGAATAGTCACTCTTCGAGGTGGAAACCAAGGTGGTACTTCCACCGACTCTAGCCCCATGACCCTCCTTCCATGCATTCTTCAAAAAGGCACACCCCGAGTTGTTGCTCATGCCTGTAACAGCAGCCAGTTCCGCGTTGCGCGAGTCCTTCCCAAACCCCGCCCCGCCCCGCCCTCGAAGTGGTGTTGCGGCCTGATGCCGCCAGGGGGCGAGCGGGAGCCGCGGCCGGGGTGACCACGCATGCGCACGACGTGGGTCGCACGTGCGGAGGGCGGCGGGCGCAAGGGGAAAGGTAGGAGGTGAGAGGTGAAGGGGCGGGCGCAGCGCGGGACCCGGAGACGGAGGGCGGGCGCCACGCACCGGGCCGCGGGCGGGAGCGCGCACGCCGCTCCCTGCCGCCCAGAGCTGCCTTGGCCTCAGGTACGGTTACGCGTCCCCACGCGGTGCGGCCCAGCCCGACCCGGCCTCGCCTCCTTCTTCAGCTGCCGGGGCGGCTCTGGGAGTGGCGGCCGGGCGGCAGGCGCTGTCCAGCAGCCGGACGGGCCGGGCCCCCAACTCTCCACTCCCCGCCTCCCGGCCACGAGCGACCCGGCCAGCCGCCCGGAGCTCGGGCTCCGGAGTCCGCGTGGGGCTGCGGGGCGCGCCGTGCACGCCTGTCCGTGCGCAGGGCACTGGGCGCGAGCCGGGACCAGCTTGCCCTGGGGGGTCAGTCCCTGTCCTGAGACCTCAGCTTTGCCTGCTGCGGTTTCGTCTGTTTGCTTCGGGTGGGTTTATCACCCCCGGGTTACCCCGGAGTGTGAGGCCAGCCCGGGGCTAGCAGAGGGAGCTCAGTCCATGCTGCATCGCTGAAGGCTGTGCAGATGAGATGGAGGGGCAGTAGGATCCGCGTGGGGGCTCCTTTACTTTGATGCAGGGTCTGCTAGGTACTCTAGGCTGGTTTTGGACTGGATATGTAGCTCAGACTTACCTTGAATTGGCTACATGGCCCAGAGGGGCTTCACACTTGCGATTCTCGTGCCTCAGCCTCCCTGGTGCTGGATGACAGGCGTGTGCTACCCACCAGGCTTAGCTCTGGACTTTTGCTGCACCGCCTTTTGTGATGAAAGCTAGGTCTGAGTGATGAAACTCTTTTCTGGAGATTTTGTGATACTTGTGATAGGGACATAGAAGGCGTTTTTCTTATGATGTTATCTTTGTAGTGGTTTTTGTCATTTCATCCAGCGTTTGGTGGAGTGTGGTTGTGTAGTGTTCTTACTGGCGTGCTGGCGTCTTGAGCTGTGGTCTTAAAAGACTGAAGTGAACCAAGATCTCGTGTGTCAGTGGAGAATGAGTTTTAGGTGTTCTTGACTGATACCTAATTAAAGATGGTATCTTTCTGTTTTTTGTTGGACACAGGATTTTGTTGTGTAGTCCAGGCTGGCCTTGAACTCTCAGCCATCCTCCTGCCTCAGCCTCATGAATGCTGTTCCAGGTGGACACTCTCATACCTGGACAGAAGACGGCATTTGTTTAAATGTGTATTAATATAGTTGAGGTTTTACAACGATGTTGTGCACCCATGTTTATAGAAGTACATTGGAAACTATGTAAATGCCCATCTTCTGAGGCATGGATATAGTTGAGGTTTTTAAGTGTTTTGCACATTTGCAGCCATGACGTCAGAAACCATACCTACAGGTAAACATTGTAGCAAAAGGACACCTTCCAGAGGGTTCCGTGTGCTTTATACCACTGGTTTACTACCGGTCTACCTCAGTCTGGGTTAATTTTACTGTGAGATGGGTAAAAAATTGACTCCTAACTTAGGGCTAGAAGACAGAGCCGGAAAGGTTGTGATTTGCCCAAGGTCATCTGTGAACAATGAGGGGGCGGGGCTGGCCTGCACTGGAATTGCTGTTAGTACTCACCTTTGATGGGGGTGTTAGGGCAGCCTGGGCTTAGTATCTAGCCTTGCACAGAACCGTGTCCAGGGATTCTGTGGTGACCCCCACTGCATGTGTTGTTCTTGGGTGACCATTTGCTGGCTGCAGCTGTCAGGTTTAGTGGCCTGGATCGGTGCTGGTCGTTT